CCGTGGGGCAGAGGGACACGTGGGGAAACTGAGGCAGAGCCGGAGCACCAAGCTTCCCACCCCCACACGCCCCCAGTTGCACCCTGCTGTCCCCAACCAGGACAAATAGCAAGGGACACCCCCCCACACACCAAGTGGCCCTGGCCCAGGAGGCGCCAGTGACGCCGGAGCCGGGATGCCGATGCTGGGCTCTGCTCTCCATCCCGGACGCCCGAGATAAGGAGCGGGCGCCACGGCAGAGGGCCAGGGCGCTGTCCCCAGGGCTGTCCCTGCCACGCGCCCGCGCTCTGGGGAGGGCAGGGGGGATCGAGCCGGGGCCCGGGCTGGTTCCCCCGGCCCCGCACTCACTCGCCTTCTCCGGGCGGCTGCCGGCCGAGCCCACGATCTCGCCCAGCGTGCAGAAGGCCTGGTCCAGGAAGTCCTGTGGGGACGCGGTGCCGGCAGGACCCCGTGTCCCCCCCGCCGCAGCCTCATCCCCCCTTCCCCAGCCCTTGCCCACTCACGTGCTTGGAGAGGTCGGGGCTCTTGGAGTCCACATCGTACCTGCGGGGACACACGGACACGGTGATGCCTGGCACTGGGGACGGAGCTGGGATGGGGAAAGGCAAGAGGGGAGGGGACAGGCATGGGGACAAGGATGGGACACACGAGGGGATGGGGCTGGTACAAGGATGGGGACAGGGACAGAGATGAAATGGGACCAAGCTGTGATGGGGACATGGATGAGCCAGGGATGGGGCTGAGAATGGGACAGGGATGGAGACGGGACAACATTGGGGACTGGGGCAGGAACAGGCTAGGGACATGGATAATGGCAGGAGTGTAGCTGGAACAGGGACAGAGATGGGGCCTGAACAGGAGCGAGACAGGGAGGGGGATGGAGATGAGGACATGAATGGAACAGAGAAGGGACAGGGATGGGGACAAGAATGGAGCTGGAGACAGGGATGGGTCCAGGGACAAACAGAGCCAGGGCTGGGGACAGGTGCCCAGCGCAGCCCGGTGGCACTCACAGGTCGAAGCGCAGGTTCTGCTTCTCCTCAAAGAAGTAGTCGAGGATGAACTTGCGCACGAAGTCGGGGTTCAGGGTGTTGTCGATCACCTCGGTCCGGCCAAACTGTGGGGACGTGACCGTGAGCGGGACCCAGGGGGGAGAGCGGTGGTGGCACCGAGGATGGAGGGATGCGGAGGGACAGAGGGGATGCGAGGGGTGGCCAAAATGGGAGCTGTGGCCAGAGGGACGCAGCTGGGGACAGGGAAACCACAGGGACATCGGGGGGACATCTCTGGGGGCAGAGCGAAGGAGGGGGACGGGGACCATGAGCTATTTAGAGACAGAGGGAGGGAGAGGGAGACGGGGAAGGCAGGGAAGGATTCACAGCTGGAGGAGGCAGTGGGAGGGATGGGGACACGAGGGGACACAAGGGGCGTGGGAGGGGACAGGAGCGCCTGAAGGGGACACAAGGGGACGCACGCAGAGGGGGTGGCTCTAGGAGCTGGCAGGGACACAGGGGCTGGAGGGGATGGGAGGAGCTGGAGGGGACACAGGT